ATTTTTTCAGATCATATTTCAGTCGTTGCACTGTAGTTGATTGACGAAATTTTTTAGTTTTTTCGTGATGTGATTGAAGCATCAAAACTTCCTGTGTAGCATCTGATATAAATTGTTTACACATATTAACTAATAATGCACAGTCAGTGCAATCATAAAGAGGACGTATGGCTGTAAATACATCAGCTAAAGTAGACACATTGTTTAACTTAGCAATGGTATCAACATGATATTTTAAATCTTCTCTATATCTTAACCACGTGGCAATCTTTTTAAGTAATTTAGGATCACCTTGAATTTTGGTATCAAAGGCTTCTTCTATGTCAATCATTACAGAAGAGAAATTATCATTCAACTCTTTTAAAGAATCGCGAGTTTCTTCCTCAGCATAAAGCCTGATATCAGTCTGATTATCATATTGAGCTTGATCCAGAGTCAACTGATGCAATGTATCTACAGCTGACGCATTTTTTGTAACATCTTTTGAATTACCTATTGTAGAAGTCAGTTATTATAATAATGAGTATCATAGTTTTACCTGAAGCTGGTATTGGTAATAATGATTCCATATCAAAAACTTCTCCCCATTTATTTGATAATAGTCTAGCAATAGCATCAGTTGGTCCACCTTGAGATATGCACTCAAGAAACAATTGACAGTGCCGCTTTAATTCTGATACATCATTAAAAGCTGAAAGTATTGCTTCAAACTCATCTATTATTTTACTGTAGCTCATTGAATCTCTCACTTCTTTTGTGATAATTTTTTTAGCATATAAGTGTGATGATATGCTACTGAGACTGCCTCTGGTTACTTCTTCTAATTTAGCATAGTGTGAACGAAGAATATTTTTTATCTTTTTACAAGCTTTAATGGAAAAAGATGTATCTATCAATTGTTTCAAAATACTGAAATTACTAACCTTCTTTAAAAGTAGGATCAGGCCCAGGGTTAAGTTCAACATCTCCTGATAAAAGGAGGAGATGGGAAATTATTGAAAATATGTGGTTGAAAGTATCTCCAGGTAATACTGACACAAGGGTATCAGTAACAATATCACCAGCAGTACATTGTTGATGACCATAACAATGACCTAATTATAATACAGTGTACAAGTACATATGAAATTCATTTATGGTATACATTTTGATTTACCTGGAGGAAGAATTGAATTGTGTTTCAATATAAGGAAACAAAAATAAATGACAATGGAAGCAATAATAAACAGACTGAGTGCCACTGTTAGTGCACTAGACCTAATAAATCTATCGTTTGACTTGCTGATATCAGCAGCAGCTTTAATCAATTGATGGTGGCATTCATTAGCCGGTCCACTTGATGCAGGTCTACAGTATTTCTTAAATACAATACTTCCTCTAGAAGCAGCTTGACAGTAATTCCACAGTCCAATATTTGCTCTCCATTGAGAGATATCAATCATAGTTGTACTTGCAGCTAAAACTGTAGACTCTAAATCAATTTAGCGCATAGAAGTAGACTATAACTTACCAATAAGTCTTCTCTCTTCAATATCTAGCACAAATATATATAAAACGCAAATAAAACTAAAGACCGCTGATGCTTAAAACTGAACCATGAAAGATGGGTGGATCACACCATATAAGGTCATCTATGCATAAACACACTCATGAATAAAATTTAAAGAAGGGCAGTACATGTACTTGATAAGGAGAAGATTGCTGATTGTATCAAGGCATAGTATTTCAAGGCAGTGAGGTCACACAACATTACTACCAATTTAGATAATAATAACTGATGAACATTCATCTGGAGTTATGCCCTTTCTATCTACAGTCCACTTTTAATAGTGTGTGTTAATCTTAGTGTTTTTGATATTAGGGGGTTTGTATAATATTTTAATACATTTTAAAAAGTGATATAATAGTCAATAATTAAAATGTCATTAATAAGTGATAATAGCAGCAGTACCTAACAGAAAAAATAATAATGATTATTATTAATTTATCTATTTTATTTGTTTACTTACATTCATTATTATGCTGTTATTATTACTAGTGTCTCCCACAGGTCCACTTTAACGATTTCATATTATTAATATTAACTAATTTATTAACATGAACCCATGAACACTGACAGGCATAAGATCTGTAACCTAATAAAGAGAGAAATAGAAGTAGATGAAGAGGAATACTATAAATGCTGTATAGTGGGAATTTCATCAGTGATATAATTTCGTTATTTTCATTCTCATTCTTTGCGGAACAAAATATCGTCCAAACAAAAAAGGCATTCCTCAATGCCACATGTACAAAATAGCAGCCTAGAACAAAAATAAACAGAACAAAAGTCTATAATCCTTTCAAGAAGAAATTGTTCCCAAT